AGACAGTCAGTCAGTCATACAGGCAGCCAGTCATACAGTCAGTCATATATACAGTCAGTCAGTCATGCAGATTATGCGGTTAATTTACTGCTCTCTGCTCGACTTCAGCAGATCACGTTGCTCAGAAGAGATGAAGAGGCTTCACGTTGCAACTTTTAATTAATGCGACCGTTTCAGAGCGTTTGAGGCAAACAGGTTGTGAACTTCCTGCTGGAAGAATGAGCATTAACTTCTCTGTCCGTTCATCTTTACAACAGTTTTCAGCATCAGCTTGTCTTATTTTGGAGCACGACCTGCTGTCTCTTCCTTCTGCTCCGGCGAGAGCTCGCTGCACCGAGCAGGAGCCTGAAGATCTGATGGTCTCATTAACAGTGATGATGTAACACCTGAAGTGGAGTGAACCTCCACAACACCTCCTGCAGCTCTGCACCTGAACTGTCTATAGCTGGAAAAATGCTTCATGAAAGTAATCTAATTTCGTGAATTTATCAAATTGGGCACGGGTCTGTACAGAACCATCACTCGATTCGGATCCGGACCGAAGTCCACCTAGTAGTGATCTCTGCTCTAGAGCCTGTCTTGTGTGGGATTTCTCCTTCTGCCTGGCTCTTGAGTTAGTGGGGACGCTGTCTGCTCTGTGGTACAGAGTCCTGATGACTCCCAACTGGTGCTCCAGGGAGTGATGGGAGTCAAACTGCAAATACTGGTCTGTGTGGGTGGGTTTGTGGTACTGTTGTTTAAAGAAAGAAAGAAAACAAAAATGATAGATAACTAAAATAAAATGACAAATAAAAAAATCAAAAACATCATGGACGAAGGAGAAAATGTAAACCTGTCCGCTTCTCTGCACGGAGTTCAACTTCATGTGACTCTGAACGTTTTGCAGAAATAACCAGTCATGTTTAAAGACATTTTAGCTTATATCACTACCTTGAAATACTTGTTCATATAAATTCATCCTGCTTGCAGTGTTGTTACATATGTTATGTTATACATGTTATATATGTTACGTTATACATGTTATATATGTTACAT